GCGCTTTCCTTTAAAAAGATGCCGAATAGTACTTACATAACGGCAGAGGATAAGATGGTGCCAGGTCACCAACCTATGAAAAATATATTAACTCTACTACTTTGCGCCAATGCGAGTGGCGACTCTAAAATCAAATCTCTTCTAGTGTGCCATTCAGAAAAACCCAGAACCTTTAAGTCGCATTAGATTTTAAAAGAAAAACTGCCAGTTATGTCCAGGGCAAATCCAAAGCCGTGGGTTACCAGGAAATTTTTTGTGGAGTGGATAACCTGGCGTTTCCCTTTCTCTTAAAAAACATCTACAGCAAAACAACTTACCCATGCAAATTCTTGTTCTCGATAACGACCCCTCTCACCCATCAAATCTCGAAGATGATTTACTCCAAGAGTTCAAGTTTATAAAGATTCTCTACCTACCAACCAACACCACTCCTATCTTGCAACCCATAGATCAGCAAGTGCCTTCTAATTTTAAGAAGTTTATACCAAGCACATTTTTCGGCACTGCTTTGAGGTGACGGAGAACATAAACCTTACCCTTCGAGAGTTCTGGAAGGACCACTTTAATATAGTAACATGCCTAAGAATTATTGAGCAACGCTGGCTAGGTGTTACAACAAGGACCTTAACCTCTGCATAGAAGAAGCTGTGGCCTGAGGCTGTAGATGAAAGGGCCTCCGAAGGACTGGAACCCGAAGTGTCAGTGGTAGATGAGATTGTTTCTCTTGGAAAATCCATGGGTCTGGAGGTGGATGAAAGAGATGGGAACGAACTTGTCGACGAACAGTCTCAGGAGTAGGAGGAGTCAACCGAGGAGTTAGACGAACTACATTCGCAGCAGGATACGGTGGTTCAACGAAAAATTAGTTTTGAAGAGGAGCCAAAATTGGAAGACGTCTCTATAAGATACATAAAGGAGATCCTGGGAATGTGGGAGAAAGTTGCAGAGTTCGTGGATAAAAATCACCCCGAAAAAGTTACAACTGGTGGTGAATCAATATTCCGCAATATTCTGAAAGGGAGGAAAAAACAAACCTTGGACAATTTTTTTAAATGATCTGCAGACGAAAATAAGGAAAGTGTGACGAAAAAAGTGAAGAACACTGACGAGAATAAGCGCTTCCGTAAGCACTTCACTTTTTCTTATGTTTTTACAGAATATGTATGTATTTTTTGTTACTTATAAATAAATGTTTCTTCTTTTAAATACATTTTTCTTATTTAAAAACACTTAACAAAAAACAACTAACGTGTTTTTTTTTTGGAGGACAGGAACGGATTAATGACATTTCAGTTAATTTCAATGGGGAAAATTGCTTTGACATACGAGCAAGATTACGTAACAAATTACACTCGTATGTCGAGGTACCACTGTATAATTAATATTTTGTTTTATTTATAATTAAGATTTTAATTTCACAGTTTTTAAGCAATTGAAGATATTGATTTTTACACTGCATGTAACATATATTTATTTGCGTATATGTATTTTTGCGTTTATATATTTATATAATATAAATAAATAGTAATTAAGATAATCGTTTCTGTCATCTTTTTTTATGATCGTCATATGAGAATACATTTATAGGGTATTATTTTTACTCCAAAGTTAATAATTCGAAAACATTGATAATAAGTTAATAGTACTAGAATTTGCTTACTACCAATATAATTCATGACTGTAACTGTAAATAAAAAAAATGAACATTTCGCACTTCTTCTTAGTGTCATCAGTTGCCGCTACAGCCCTTCGTGAGCCCTGCCTGCCTTAACACATTCTTCCCTCCTTCCCCGTCGAATGTCTGTCTTTTCCACCCCCTTACTCCAATCTCCCTTAAATTGTCCTTCACATCCTCCAGATATCTAAGTTTAGGTCACCCCCTTCTTCTTCTTCCGACCGGCCTATTTAGCATGGTTATTTTAGAAGGATCACTTTTATCCATCCGAGTTTCGTGGTACACCCATCTTAGGCGGTTTATTTTGATGGTTTTTACGATATCTGCATCACCAAAAAGTCTGTAGAGTTCGAAATTACATAGCCTTCTCCACAGACCCTGTTCGTTAACTCCGTCTATATGGTCCTCAATACTTTTCTTTCAAATATTTGTAGTAACTCTTTTTCTAGGGCCTTCATTGCCCATGTTTCCGATCCGTAGGTGAGCACTGGTGGGGAGCATCTTCTGATATTTAATATTCCTAAGTCGGTCTCAACTTCATCTAATCACCTAATTCGCACTCAGCCTCTGCTTCTTTCCATAGGTGTTCCTGTCGTTAGCTTTTCAGCAATCATATTGTCTTTGGCCATCTCAATGCGTCATTTTATTTCAAGGCTACGGTGCCATTGCTCATTTAACTCACATACCAAGTAATTGTATCTGAGTACTTTCTCTAAAGCTTTTCCTTTGACATAGATTGTTTCGTCTTCAATCTTGTTTTTACTGACAATCATAATTTTTGTTTTTTTTTTTTGTGTTCAGAGCCATTCGTTACCCATCGGACTACTGCGTAGTGCGATGAACCAAAATTTGTAGACCTTCTTTGCTGTCTGCAAGAAGCATTGTATCATATGCATATCTGAGATTATTCACTAGTGTTCCGTTAATGGATATACCTTCGTTATTGTCTTATAGTGCCCCTTTAAACATCTCTTCTAAGCACATATTAAAAAATAGAGCTTATAGTACACATCCTTGTCGAACTTCTCTTCTTATAGGTATCTCTTTAGATTTTTGTTGGTCTACTTGTATTACAGCTTTCTGATATTGTTATAATTTTGTAATGATTCTCACATCCCAATCATATATTTCTGTGTTCCATAATATCTTTGCAAGCCGTCTGTGATATATTTTGTCAAAGGCTTTCTCAAAGTCAGCTAGACATATGAATATGTCACAGTTGACATCTCTATTTCGTTCTATGAGTGTTTGTATAGTAAATAATGCGAATCCAATGGGGGTCAATTGACCCCTCTCAATCCGAGTGATTTAATTTTTTTTAAACTTAGCTCAAGTTGTATTAGAAACTTTGAAAATATGAACTTTGGATGTTAAGTATTGTATAGGCTTGCATAAATGACTGCTATGTAATGATTTCTGAAACTGTTGGTGTAGTAATTACCTTCAAAAATAAAGCTATTATTGCTGTTTATTTAGTATTCTTCAATCATATTTTAAATGTTTCAATTGGTAAATCTCCATCAGTTTAATCAGTGAGAAATGCATTTGAAACAATGAAAGGAGTAATTTATTTTTTTTTAAGTTTCCTTAAAACGCAATGCAGTTTTTAAAAATATGATTGTACATCGGCTTAGTGGTTTGTGCGAGACGAGATGGGTTGAATGTTACTTTAATTTTGAGACTCTCTGCCAAACATTCAAGAATGTGTGTGACTTATAGACCATGGATGTATAAATAATTACAAACTGTTGCAAAGGCAAAGATATTAAAATCAGCTACATCTGAAGCTGACCTTGTGACGACTATCTGCTTATCAATACTTAGTACTTTCTTGCTCTTTGCCACTAAGTCGTTTCTTTTTTTCAAAAATTAAAATAAAATCAGCATGTGATATGCTTAATGATATTTGAAATTTTTGGATCGAAAGCAAGAAAATTGTAATGAAATGTTTTCAAGTTTATGTGATGAAGTTTGTAGCATTGCAGATGAACTCGATATAGAAATAAAGCTTGCTCTACTAGAGTAAAAACAGCGAAATCAAGCAAATTGTCCATGTGATAGTCCTCAAGACTATTTAGATGATCTATATATATTCTGATAATTGATAACATTATCGAAGATTGAAAATCTCGCTTTCCCAAAGAAATGTTAAATTTATACAGTTTCTCAATTTTATTTCCTGATATATAAGAAGAATCTGACTAAGAGTCAATATCAAATGCTGCTCATATTCTTGCTGATAAATATTAAGTTTTTTTTAATGAAAATTCTGTATAAAGAACTCTAAGGAGGAAAATTGAAATTGTTGGAAGCGAAATTGGCAAAGTAAACAATACAATGTTTCTTATGATGGTGTAAAACTTTTAGAATTTCGTGTTATTATCTCTTGTACAATTTAGATTTTTTAAAAAGTTTTGTGACATTACCTTTGAGTACATTTAGTGCTGAAAGAGATGTAGTAAAACCTGGCTACAGTCAACTATGGCTAAAGAGATACTGATTGAAACAGTGAAGCTAAGAAACAATACATGTGTGATACAAATGAAGGATTATGATGAAAAAACAAGGTAATGAAAGAAAAAAGCAAACTAAGTTTCTTACTGGAGAAAAGATTTTGATCAATGATGACATGACCAAAAAGGAAAAACACTTGAGGCAATTGTAATTCAAAGACAAGGAATGAAGAGTTGAATGTAACAATGTGAAGGTAGACTACAAAAAACTAACTGTGGATGGCATAAAATGGGAATGGGCCGGAAATTGTCCCTTCAAAAGAGAACATTCTATATATATATAGACCCAAAAATATAGGAGTGGAAGAAAAAGAGGTTCCATTATACCAACATACTCTAGCGATTAATAGAACAATCTTATTAAGCAAAATGAAAAAAAGTAAATGTATATGTAAGCACCTATGTAAGAAACAAAAAATTAGTTTTGGTAACAAAATTATTAATAAACAGTATGCATATATGTAATTGTTGATATCTCTTCATTTCCCCTGGAATTTTGTCTTAAGTGTATTAAAATGTATAAAACTTAATTGGTTTTTAAATTAAATTGTTTTTTAAATAAGTAAGTAAGGCAAATGTAGATGAAAATTTAACATGTAAACATGGATCATTTCTTAATTTAAAATTATAAAAAAGTCTTAAATATGTGTAACACAAACAATATCTGAAATTTTAAGAAACCATTAGCAGTGACCAATACTGTAAAATTACAATATACCTACTGGAAATTATACTTAATTTGAAAAACATAACAGTCATTCCTTTAACATTAATGACATGTTTTATCCCTTATTTTTGGATGGAAAATTTACCTGATGTTGAAATCCTAAATCATTTAATTGATCTCGTGTTCTTATAGTGATTTTTTTTGGACTCAAGTTATCCCTTTTCCAATTTGTACCATTTTGTCTTTCAGGGGATTTGCTGTCACTACAATTTTCAAACTTCTTTCTTATTAATTTTACTCTATTACTGTTTTGTGGGGGTTTGTACATTATTTTAATGTAAACAAGCCTTTTTTGATTACATCTTAGCTCTACTAAACTACACAGGAAGTATCTAATTTGTTAGTAGCTCGCAACAAGTGGCACAACCAGGGTAAAAAATTGTTAATCTGAAATGAAAAATTAAAACTTACGTGAGCAAATGAAGAGTCAAAAGAAGACTAAATTAATTTAAATTGGGACACAACTTACCATTGAGATTGTGATGTTTTTAATTAAACTTTACTAAGAATTTAATTACTGTACACTACACACTTTGACATACGGTAAAACTGTTTCTTTACTTCTGCTTGTTTCCCTCATTCGATTTTAACAGTCCAGTCAACGGCTGTTTATTTTTTTGGAAGTGACTAGTAACTGACCTGTTGGAAAAATATGGAAAAATGAGAGTTAAAAAATTAATTATGTTAACTCGGGTTTACAAAATCATTGATAATTAAATATCTCTCGGAGCAATAGAGAACATATCTATGTTTTAAAAATTCCTTATGTTAATTTACTATATTTGTTGAAGCGAAGCTTCTATACTGGCGTTGTATTACTTTTTTCTTTATAGTAAAATACTGAGACGAGCGTCACGGAAATAGCAACACGAGGAGAATTCGACACGGGTAGCGTTACAAAATGGCGATTCTGCATATCGATTCATTACTCTCGATCAATTCGTTTCTAGACATCACATATTTATTCTAAGTAGGTTTAAATTAAAAACTACTTGAAAAATACCTAATAGAATAGAGTGAAGACAGACACAAGTTTTGGCTGAGACGGTGGTCGAGTTGGCGTTCCGACTATGCAAAATACATACAGCAGCATTTTATGAACCAGAACGCTGGCCAGTCAGAAATTTACGTGAGTTGTTGAATATTACAAAATGAGAGATTTTATCAGTTTTATCTCGTATATTATGAAAAGAAAATAATAAGGAGAACACAAACAATGTGGGTACATCCGATTGTTGGCGAAAGAACAAAAAAAGGCAATTTTTACAATTTCTTTTCCTAAATAAGGCAAGATGAAGACACATTTTTCAATTATGTAAGAATGGCAATGACTTATTTTGATGAGTTGTTGTATACTATAACCCAAATATAATTAAAATATAAACGACCGCGTAAGAAAATGTATTCCGACAGAAGAAAAACTGCTTATTACTCTCAGGCAAATAATTATTAAATTGATATAAGGTTGAATGCTCGAATAAATGAACTTGAAATGAAAATGAAAGGCAAATATCGAGCACAATTTTAACAATTAAATCTTGCCCAAGTACTTTCGCTTAAAACAGCATCTTCAGGGTCATTTCGTCAAATTTGGGCTATCCAGCAAGCGTAGAATGTGATAAACATGAATTTTAACATAAAATTGTACAAAACACTACACTAAAACAAGGTCCTTGTTTCATGCCTTTCATTTTCAAAGTTTAAATAATTATAAGATGTTGATGTACTATTAATAATTGTATTCAATAACTTTTCTACAAATGTTAAATCTTAATTATATTAGAAAACGCCAAACTGGGATTCCTCTTCTGGGCGGAAATTACTGAAGTAGGATTAAACAGAGCCAGCTGGAGAGGGAGTTAGTATAAGAACTCTAGATTGTTCTTGGTAGTCAGTTTGGAACTGATTGTTACTGAAAGAGTTTTGTTGAACTGCGTATGAACAAGTAGGCTGTTCTTGTGTGTGTGTTGTAAGCATTGAGCAATAAGACAATAAGTTGTCTTTTTGCTCGATGGTTGTAAGTACGACTAAGAACAGAGTCCTGTTACTGCTTCACGTACATAGATGTTAGATCGTAGAGAAAATTAAGTGATTCATGAATATTCAAATATTTTACATTTTTTGATAGTTTACCTATATGATAACTGTTTGGGAATTCTTTCGGGACGCTGTCTTTCAGACTTCAATGAAACATTTTCCTATGATGTGATAGTGGGCGATGAGGCATTTCCTTTATTGGCAAATTTACTACGATCTTTTGGAGGAAAGCAACTTACTGATACATTTTCTACACTAATTGCAAATTTACCGATTTTTTAAGTATATAAAAGGCTAATGTGTGTTTCATCGAATGGTGTTATCATTTATCAATAATTTGAGTCAAAACATTACTACATTTCTCGAAAAAATATTGTTAATTTTAATTAATATCCGACGAAACTGTTTTAAGCAATTCGATTATTTTATATTAAACAAAAAATGAAGTAGTATTTATGATCACTGTGTTTAAGTAACTACAAATAAAGTTTTCAACCGCACTCCTGGTTAAGTAGACATATCCTTATGGGTATTTTTTATTTTTTAATGAAAATTAGATCACATAACAGATTATACAAAGAAAAGTTTATTTGGAAATTAGATAGAAAAAAAGATGTTCTATTTTTATAATTTATTTACTTGTATTATAGTTTATAAATATCCATATTTTATTTAATATGGTTAAAAATGTAAGTACCTAAACGTCTATTCTAAATTTATTTATAAATGACTGCAGTGTTGCCGTCCATACATTCTTTCGTTAAAATAATATACTGTGATGAAATAGCTTTTGTAAAATTTTATTTGACACTCCCTGGACCAAGCAGTTAGACGGAAAACGAGAACTGCTTCAAGAATATGATTTTTTACAAATTCAATTTAGAAACTAGGAAAATAGTGACATTGCTATAACATTTCAATTTTAAGATAAAATAATTTTAATGACTATTCCTTAAAGATCCGGTAAATCCGGAAACATTTATGTATTAACTACAACTTTAATTAATCATATTTGGAGATTTCCTGAAAATCGGTGAAACTGGCAATATAACAAATGTCAATTTTACATACAAAGTTAACTCCTTTCAGTATAGGCAACCAATATCTCTGGAATGAAGAATTATATGTAGACTTATTAGTAAAGCTCAAAAGAAGAGACAAATTAAATAAAAAGGAGATATTGACAGTTGACGTTTATATTTAAATAGGTTACATTTTTTTATTAGAAAATTTTAAAGTAAAGCAAGAGGCAAAACTATTTCAATTATAATATAAAAAAAAACATGTCTGTAATTTGTTTAATATGCCGTCAACGATATGAAGAGATAATAACGAATTCATTTTTTAATCCAGTCTATGAAGGACTTAGTATATCTAATATATTAAAATCTGTATCAACACTACAGGTAAATTATTTTTAGGATGAAACTATTCAAACAAAACTAATCAAAAAAGTTACATATACAGTTTAATTATTATAATATATGGTTATTAGTATATGAATAATAATCTAAGTGTTAAATATTTTCTCTAAATAAATTTAGTGGTGTACTACTTATATATTTTTTCTTTCCAGATAGATGAGAATAAAAAACAGTCAAGCAATATTTGCGAAGAATGTACAAGTGTAATTATAAATTTTTACAAATTAGTTAAGTCATATAATAATAGAGAAGCTGTGTTAAATGATTCAACCAAACAAGAACATTACTTTATAGAGGAACAAGACTATGATAATTATGTTGAATGTGAAACAGAATCCTACAAAGAAAATAGTGACCAAGAAGATAAGCAAATTACAACACACACACAAGATTGGGCAGAAGGTCACAAGACTCAAGAAGACCTAGAATCAAAATTTCCAAAGATTAAAGAAAATTCTCCTGTACCTGAAGAAAAGATTAATGCAAAAGTGTTTGATGAAATGGGCAATGAGGAAATATCTTCTGTAAAGTACACTTGCGATGAATGTGGAGATTCATTTTTATATAAAGTAGGGTTTAGCTCACATATGGTTCAAAAACACAGTATATACATCGAAAATCACATGTATTCCCAATACAGTACACAAATAACAGTTAAAATACCTGCTCCTAAGGGCATCACATTTGCTAGAAAGTACCATAATAAAAAGAATACTAAAATATTAACTGAAAGTTTTCAATGCCAAATATGTAAAGAGCATTCAAAGTCAGCTGATGAATTAAAAGAACATTATAACACACACAAAACTCATATTTGTGAACACTGTGGAGCAGCATTTTTGAAACATTCTTATTTAAGAGAGCACCTTGTAGCTCATACCACAGAAAGACGATATCCATGTGATATTTGTGGGAAGAAATTTAAGTACAGAAATGGATTATCTGTTCACAGAAATATTCATGTAAACTTTCGAGGTTTTATGTGTGAAACTTGTGGAAAAGGCTTTAATGCTAGAAGTACCCTCAAAACACATATGAAATTAAAGCATACAAATGAAAGAAATTATCCATGTCCAGAATGTGATTTATCATTTAAAGTCAAGTCTTGGTTGGATAAACATTATTCAAGGAAACATACTTTAAATAGAACTAAAGATTTCGTATGTAATGTATGTGGTATGGCATACTTAAATAAAACAACTTTGACAAGACATATATCAGAAAAGCATACTGGTACACCTGTAAGACATTATTGTACAATTTGTGAAAAGAGTTATAGTATGAAAAACAAATTAAGTTTACATCAGCAGAAAAAACATGGAATTATTTTAAATACTCCATCCCAAGTTTTATTATAACATCTTTAATTAGTAAGTTTTATCAGGACTTATAATATGGCTAAAATAAATTGAACCATGAGATGCGCACTAACTTCTTAGAGAGGGAATGCATAATACTTGTTTCATTGACTATTGTTGCAGCAACTATACACAAAAGTGTATACATTTAAACTGTAATATAAAAAAAACCCAGTAAAATTTAAAGGAACACAGGTATACTTTTTGTCTTATAGCAAATTTGAAAATATATTTTTACAGGAAAATATTAAAACTAGCACTTAATTAATTATATATATATATATATATATATATATATATATATATATATATATATATATATATATATATATATATATATATATATATATATAGTATGGTGTAAATGAATAAGAATAAATTCATTATTTCAGGGGTATTGTAATATATTTTTTAAAAGGTCTATATCTATCAGCCATATCAATATGTCTGAGTAATTGATGTTTGTATTGCTTTAAAAAATTAATAAATTTTTATTATAACAATAAATATTTATTATGTATTATTCAATTAATACATTGAAACCTAAATTAAGTGCTCAATTTACCTTCAGCTAAAATACAATGAGAAAGATGTGCTGCTAACTCTTATCGAACCTTCTCTATAAGTTCCGGAGTTATTTGTGTAACCCAATATATATCCTTTCTTTGAGTTTACTGATATTTTGTGGCCTATTTTGGAACACTTTACTTTTAAGTGTCCCCATTAAAAGAAATCAAGAAAAGTCAAATCAGGTGACCTAGGTGGCCATTCTATTGTTCATCTTCAACCTATCCAGTGATTTGTAAAGATGTTGTTTAAGAAGTTGCGCACCAAGACAGCATAGTGTGGGGAGCACCATCTTGCTGCAGCTATCAATTATTTCTGTTTGGGTACAACCTATTTAATATAGGGAGCAAGAAGGTTTGACAAAATTCTAAATATCAAGAACCTGTTTAAAGTTTCTTCGAAAAAGTATGATCAAATAATCTTATGTCTGGGTATTGAGTATAGTACTCTTGCATCCAGAAACTTATGGAGTTATGTAATTAGGGAAACTGACCCCACACATGGATAAAGGCAAAGAGAATGATGACTCTTGAATCCAGTGTGGACTTTTCGTAGCCCAGTACCAATAAGTTTGACAATTGACATGACCATTTAGTAGAAATGTAGCTATATCAGAGAAAATAAACTTTTTTAAAAACATCGGATGTCTGTTCTTTTATTCCATTATAACTTACTTTGTAGGGATGTCACTTTTTCTTCTTCAGTTTTCTAAGAACTGTTGAATGGCACATGCCATTATCTAATGATACTTGCTGTGAACTGGTATGGGTATTATCTTGAATTTTTAACAGAAACTCTAGTTGTTTGTTTTCAAATATTTATTTTCTACTAAGTACCTTTAGCGAGGTCTTTGACATGACCCCTTCTCTGAATTTTGCTTACAATGGATTGTGAAATTGGTTCTCGATTGTGGTATTTATTATTAAATATGTACCTAGAAACTTCTTTCTGCATACATATTTTATCTCTACAATCAATCATTAGTAGAATTTCGATTCTTTACGTTTAAGTCAGATACAAGGACTTTTTGAATAAGTCTACTAAAATAATACTATTAATCTCTCGGCAGAAAGTTAATTAACTTTAAATGTACAAGTATCAATGTTGATTTTGATAAGGTAGCTAGTTAAAAAGTAGTTAGGTAAGACATTTCATTACCTGGCATTTACAGAATTAATTTTTGGGTGTCATTAAATGTATCATACTAATAATTAATATATTCATATATTCATTCATATTAAGAACTCTGTTTAATTTTTTAAGGCATTTAGAGGACCTTTCAAATAATATATTACAATACCCACATTTCCATTTAAAATTTTGAGAAATGACATCATGTTCATATAGGAGACATCAAAAATTAAAAGGTATCCTTATGAATAGCCTGTTTAAAATTAAAATCGACCAGTTTTAGGATTATTTTTTTAAAGATTGACTGCATACGAAATAACTAATGTACTCCTTTCATTTGTACCAAACTGTATATATATATATATATATATATATATATATATATATATATATATATATATATATATATATGTGTGTGTGTGTAAGAAATACTGGATATTAGTGACTGTTGATATAAACAAAACAAAGTTTAGGCTGCAGTCAGAAGTTTGGCCGGGATGTTACAGAAACACTCTTTTGACTTTTGGTCTAGCTTTCGGAATTGTTTAATTCCTTTTTAATATCGTTAACATCTTTATTTTACATAGAACCTGATACTCTTGTACTCCTGTTAAATGTTGGCAACATCATTCATTTTCAATCACAGGTACCTCTTTAGCGATACTGGTATTAATTCATCAATTATTGACTATTATACCGAAAGTGAGCACCAACATCGTTATTTTAAATAGAACTTGTTATTCTTGTACTCCTGTTAAATGTTGATTTACGTCACTTCAGTAATGCAAATTGTGTCTAAAACATTTTTTTTTAATTCGTCACAACCTATAATATTCTTTTTCATAGCTAAAGTTAAAGTGTTGCTATAACAACTGTTTTGAGTAGATAAAGTATCACTTTAACCGCACGTTTATCGTTACAACTTCTATTCTTTTATTATAGTCTATTGTTTAAACTTTGAACTGTGGTTTAAGAGTAGGGATGAAATTTTTAGATTCAGGCTTTATGTTTCTATTAATAATTTTCCACCTCTATAATACTTTCTGAAAGTGCCCAAACAAGTTACATAGGATTAAGACCCGGAAGTTAGAGTTTCTGTCTGTTTTCTCTCATAAAGTTAATTGAGAAGGTTTATATACTATTCTCCAAAATTAACGCACCACTTTAAATGTACCATAAGTTTGAAGCTATTTTTCTTTTGAATCGTGGAATGGATTTCGAAGATTTTTTTATTAAATTATAGGTCTATTTGTAAGGAATTACTGTAGGTAGGTACCAATGTTTTCTAAGAAATGTCAACCTGTTACCCAATATAAAATAATATGAAAAAACAAAGCTTTATTTTTACATATACTGGATGTAAAAATAAAAATTTAAAAAGATTTAATTGACAGGACAATTTAAAATGATAATATTGTTGCTTGCGTATGTTACTTAGTTGACATAGATAACTGATAATACAATATCACGAGTCGTTTATGGTTTTCGAGAAACAAACCATACGAGACGGCCTGGACAAGAAGAAGAAGAGTCACAACACCACGCCAAAATCAGTTTATCAAGCTTCGTGATTTAAGATAACGTTTGGTCACAATGACACATTTACAAGAACAAGTGGCAGATGTTCATATTATTCAAATTCGTAAGAACACTATACAAGGGCGTCTCTCTTAAACAATATTTGCTTGTAAGGATACTAACCAGAGCACCAGCTTTAAACATAAATCATCAAAATCATTTGCCGGAGAGCACCTTGACTCGAATGTGGACGACGAAGCACGTATTGTTCACAGATGTTGCACGTGTGGTCTGTGATTGGCCAAACCATGAATTGGCCATACTGCAGCCCTGATCTAAATTCCATAGACAATTTGAGGGATATTATTGATCATCATCTCAGGAACCGACAACAACCACCTCTAATCTGTATATTTTGACGACATAGAAGTTTTGGTGAGAGAAGTTTGGGATGCCTTAGATCAAGACCAAACACCACGCTTGATTTTAAGTAAAGCGTTTTTAAGCTAATTTTCAATAAAGAATATGTAAGTAGTGTCTTCTTTAATTTTATTTGCTTTAAATGTCCATAAAAACTTGTTTCATTTAACGTTTTATATAATCTTTGATAGCAGAAATATCGAGATGATTTTTGTACGAAAATCTTGAGAAAAGATAAAGTTATTGCGGAATATTAATAAGATATAGCATTTGTTTCTAACAAAGTCGATAGAATGTTGCAAAATAGGATAAAAACACTTTACTTTAAACAAAAAGACTTTATTTTTGCACGCCATATATGTCAAAAAAATTATCGAAATCAAAACAACGGTTCAGAAGAAAAATGGCTTTAAACTTTTGGTACATTTGGCGCGTTATTTTGGAGAGTAGTGTATTTCTGTTTGTAGAATTTATATAAATTTTACAAATTAGCTCGTTTTATTGTTTCATTGAAGGTTTTTCCAAGCTTCAGGCAGTTTTCGGTCATCTCTCATGGAATTACTTGCTGAACCTCATCTTCCTGTTTTTTGTCCGTGTCATGAAAATACTCTGTTTGAAATTTCTTAGATAAGAGTAATTAACAAATTCTTTTTCAATACCAGCGCCAACTACTGTACACCACTTTTGATATGTCTGAAATAATGTATCCGAAGATTTCTCACGTAATGTCCCATTAATATCTTCAACTGTTTTTTCCCGAAATCCTAATTTACGTTTCTCATTGTACATCTACATCCTCGGTATATGTACTTTTCTTGTTTATTTTTCTTCTGTAGGTGTATACCTAATTTATAGTTAGTTCATACTTGTTATACTATATTTACCTGTTGATGCTGCAACTCGCTCTTAAACTATTTTCAAATATATTTACATAGTTCTAGTTTCAACCTCTCTTTGAGTCAATTTTAGTACGGAATATAAAATTTCACGAGTGTGGGAAGGTTTTACATTTAACTTTTGATTCCATTTTTTGGACACATAAGTACTTCTAATTGGATTTTATAACATTGCACAAGTGAATCGCTTGTAAAATTTTGAAGCGATTCTCAATCCGATTTTGAATCCTGCTCACAATTTTGTGTTTAAGCTATATAGCATCCCCCTCGCGTTACTATCAATTTATGTTAGCCAAGTACTAATATTATTTAAAATTTTAAATCTATCTGTATATATTATTGATAATTGTTTTATATTTATAATAATTTGTAAATAAATATTTATTGTATCTATTGGCTTGTGTACTTTATTTCTGAAACTATGCCTATTTATGAAACTAGATGCCTGATTCTAGAGATTCCCTGATTTTAGGGATTGTATAGAATCACTCGCCAACCCGCTCGGCAAGCGTGGCGTTTTAAATATGCTAAAACCTCCCAAGTTGAAGATGTCGAGTATCAATACGAAATTACCCCAGGTGAGTAGAGTTATACACTCAGAATCTCACACTCAGCAATCAGTCAGCCTCATG